AATTAAAAAGAGAATCTAGATCAAATGGTGATGTTCGCAAAAAGCATCATTTAATTAAAAGATTGAAAAAGGCTGCAAAATGTGGAGTACAACTAGAAAAGTTATGCTCACGAGAGTTGAATAAAGTAGATACCAGAACTGTCTTTGATGCACAAGTTAGTAATATAAAATTTGTATTTTAATTCATTCAACATATTACATATTAAATTTAGATTCTTCTACACCGTAGGCTTACTCGGCCTTAATGTCCGGTTATTTTCTATTCGAAAAACAGTCTTGGCAGGCAGCATTAGATAAATTTGCCGCGGCAAGGTAATACAATTTATAAATTAAAATTAATCAATTTCTCGATTAATAAAGTTTATTGAAAAAGATTTCTTTACTTCAGAACGATATACGAGAAATTATCTACAGCTGGATCTTCACATCAAGAAACACTATGTCAATCTGCTATTGATGATATTGATCCGAATATCCGTTACTGTGCATTCAAGTTGAAGCTAGGCACTGATAGTAGTAATATAGGAGTCGAGGATCTAGTTAAAATTACCATAGGAAAAAACAAGAGTGTTGGTCTTGATTTATTGGAAGCGGAAGTAGAAGTAAAATCTTTATTGATAATTTAAGAAAATTGATTCAAATATTCTTTCAGTGTACATTAAATTATTTTATTTAATAGACAGTTCTTGCTCAGACTCGTCAAGAGAAGGCCGCAACTCTTACGTCCATATCTTGGCGAGGTCGTGTAGTACCACTTAAGAATGCAGATTTGGCAATATGTATTTTACGAGCACGTGAGGCTACAACCAATCTTGAAAACGCTTCAGATACTGACACAGAAGAGGCTACTAAAATGGAATTGTTCGATTTACTCCTTGAGGCTTATGGAGATGCAGAAAGGTTTGCCAAAAATGCCGTTAAGGAGGATGCGGTAAAAGATAATCTCTGTGCCGACTTCCTCTCTTATTTCTTGATACCGTTTCTAATTATTAATTCACCGATTTGATTACATTGTCCTATTTCATCATATCCTTGACCAACAAAGGAAGCTGCGGCAAAACTTAAATCTTCTAAATCAGAGCAAATTTCCGCAGATCTCAACTTTGTATATAATTACGTGGCATATAATTATTTATCCCGTAGAATACAACGAAATTTGATGCTTGTTAATTCACTACGACTACATATAGATAATCACGAACGTATTGAGGGAGATCGGTTTCTTGGAGGGAAATACCAAGATATCGTTAAATTATATGATAACGTTTTACAGGTACTGCTAACTCAATCCGAAAACTAATTTTTTTTCCTCTTTACTTAAAATTTATTTTGCTTTTTTTAATGTAGAGTTTAAGCGAAATTAATGATCTTTCCGTAGTTCAAAATGACGTTAACTTGTCTAGAGAGATCGATGCCAAACTTTGGTATTTTAAAGCATGGAGGTAATGAAATTAAATGGATATTTTTTTTTTCTTTTTAATTTGTTGACGTGTATTTCTTTGGTTGCAGAACTTTATTTGTTGCCTTGGCTTATTCGGCTCTAAATAA